ATCATAACATTCCATTCAATATGGAGCATATGTTTTCATCAGTTAGTTCAGAGACTCAGAGACTTTTGGAATCAGAGTCAGCTGGCTTCTTTTCATCAGTGCTGCTGACTTCCAAGGTGTTATTTTTACCTCTACCGGTGCACATCTGCTGAAGTTGCCACAGAAAGTCTCGACCTCAACAGGGAGTGATTTTCTTAGACATTAAGTCTAAGTTCATAGGAGTTCAGATGAAAAACCGATTATATTTTACAAGTCATTTTCATGTTAAATACACTGCAATCTCAATGGCTACATAATCAAGAAGCAATAATATGTCGCGTTTTTCTAAAGAACATGAAACCTTGCCTCTTGCAATTCTGTTTCAATTTCTCTACCAGATTTCTAAAAGTGATTAGAATATCCAGACTGACATCAAAACAATAATCACATGTGGTTTTATTTAATTTCAAGTGACAAAGAAATAATTCATAACAATTTTGTTGAATCAATGCTAACATGTGGTAGGATATCAAGAAATTTATACTGAGTAAAAACAAAAATCAAGCAGGAAATATAGTAGGAGGATGCTTGTTTTGCCACATTTGCATGTTCTGATGAAATGCTACTAAAACGATTATGGGATAATGGAATATGTCAGATATTAATTAAATATATAGCAAATGATATATATGATATATATCATTTAATATATATTTTAAATGATAAAATATAAATCATTTTATACCAGTTTTACTATCAAAGATCAATGAATTAACTAATTCAAATTAAGGAAGCTTTACTGAATTTTTTTTTGTGTGTATGAGTCAGGAGGAATTAGTCAGCATTTTAATATATATGAGTGATCCTAGATAATGACCAAAATAAGAAAAGCCAATGAGGCCACTTTATTTATGTAATTTCTACAGAACTTATCTTCCTTTCCTAGAATTACTATAAATTAAAATTCAGTATCTGCTCAAAGCAATAAACACTCAATGGGGCAGAAATAGTTTCCTTATGTCCATACCTACCTTTTGAAAGTACTAAGTAATACATTTTTATTAAATCAGACAATCTCCTCTCTTTGAGTTACTGCTTACGTTTTCTGCTAAGTGATTTTATATAGAATCTTCCCCCTGTTTACATCATAGCCCTATAAGAAAAGTATCATAATTTCCAGTTCACAAATTACAACAGTGACTATGGGAGATTAAGTGATATGTCAAACTAGTGACTAGGTCATCTGATTTCAAGTTCAGTAGTACTTTTATCACTTTTTTCATTTTTCCACTATTTCCCAAACAGATATTATGAAGATGAATTTCAGAAAGTGTTTAATCAAAAAGCAGAAATTAATAAAGGTGCACATACACAAAATTTTTTTTAAGAATCAGAAAAATTTCTCACATTCTCAGAGTTTGTTCTAACAAAAGTAAGAGCAGCTTACTAATTTATTTAACATTCAGATGACAAAAAATATATATCCATTACATGACTAACAGTGTGACATTAGAAATAAATTTATAATTATGCAATATTTTATTACAGCAAAAGATTTTCTACATAGGATTATGCATGATCAATTTGAATAATTCTTCAATTTTAGTAATTATCAGATTCTGAAATAGAACATAAAATGGAGAGATCAAATTACATTTTAGCTTCTTTAAATACTTCAGTGAATACTTTAGTGAACTGCTACACCCTGAAATATAATCAATTTACATTCGAAGTTAGAAAATAAAGACTTTTGCATTTTTCTAGCACAAAATTTATGCATTAATAGTAATGAAAATATTTTCTCACCACACTGATTTACTCTATATCATCCAACTTTGTTAATTTGCTGTAACGTAGCTCAGAGCAGAAAGAAGATGTAAGTCAGTCCTGTGGTTTCAGAAGTTAGACCTTTTATCGCCTTGTAAAGTCGCAGTAGCGACACACTTCAAAGTGTTCCAAGCTACTTTGAATCTAAACCTATTGAGTTATAAGTCCCATTCTACATTGAACAGCATCTTCAAAAGAAGCTTTAGAAAGATCCCTCAGGGTAGAACAAATGAAAAATAAGATAAAGAGGATGCAACCAAAAGCATGCTGATTACTCTTCCATGGATTTTAGAGTTGCTTTTAGTCCTCCAAAGCAATGTGCTTCCGGCTGCCATATCATGTTCATTGTTCTAGAGACTATACATTAGCCTTGAGATCTACAATTGCAAATAATGAAAATGTTAATAGAAAAGATTTTTCCCCCAAAGGTGTTCTTTTAAGAGGATTTCTTCACTTTCAGCATGGTTTCCAAGAATTTCTGGAGCCTTCCTTCTTGAGAGAGAGTTCATTTTGAATAACTTTCCCAAACTCAAGAACTTATTCTTTTAATTTATCCAAACATGTAATGAAATCTAATTCCTTCATTCTATAAGACTATATAGAATTATATAATTCCATAGTATGTACACAATATATGTAGCAATAGTAGTAATTGCATTGATATTTGCAATGATAAAAATAGCTAATATTTTTGTCAGAGCTTCTTATGTAACAAGTTTCAATGCTAAATGCTTTTCATGCATTATCTCATCGCAGGCTCACTTAAACATATGAAGCCAATTTAGAGTTACTTCCATTTTACAGAGGCAGAAACAGAAGTATAAAGAGCAGACTACACTCAAGCCAGCTGAAAAGCCTACGCCTTTCATGAGTATGCCGGAAGACCCCTTTTATTGCTAAAAGCATGTGATATTCAGTTTAGGAACACAGTAACTGGCATGTCAGTGCTTGTTAAATTACTAGAGAGACAGATTTCTACTTCTTGCATATTAGAATCCAAGGTAAAAGATGGAAAATGACCTGCATTATATCGTATAGTTTATTAGGCTTAGAGGTGAATGGGTATTGCCGCTTGGAGTATGCTTATCCATGTTCAGAGGCTTAGGTGACTGTTGTCACTTAGCCTGGGTGCCTAAGCAATGTTGTGATAGGGCAGGGAAGCCTTTGAGAGGCGAGAAATTCTGAGCTGACCCCTCCACTATTCTGTGAGCTTCATCTATTGATATACTTCATTTCACATTCCAGAAGGAAAGGATAAAGACCACTTAAAAATATTAATAGCATCCTTTCACTCTGGGGAAGATGAGCAAAATGTTTACCCTTTTGCTCATGTGTGTCTCAAGTGTGTCTTAAGACCAAATATTCTCTATATTTCCACCTGGGTTATTTTATTCTTTAATCAGTAAAATAAGGGGGAAGTGTTATTGCCTTACATGGCTGAAATCCTGCCATAAACCTTTACGCATATTTATGCATATTTAGCCTCATAAGTATATGTTCAGCAAGACCAAAATAATTCTAAAAGGAATGTAAATGTTGATATTATTTTTAAAAAGAATAGCTTTTTAATGATAGTTACTCTCCTTCCTTAGGTGATTTAAATAAATTAACATTCAGCAAGTTTTATTCGCTAATATTCTTAAGGTAGGGTTTGTTTCATCTTACATGTATAAGGTTTAAATACGTCTGCCAAATCTTAGTTTAAGGATGTTGTCAAGACAGATGTTGGCCCCCACTATTAGCATTTCATAGTAGAGACAAAAAGGAAGTAAGAGTTGAGATAAGATAAAACAATATTATTAGAAAACATGTGTTCAAGAATGCTCTGGGTTTCTGAAGTACTGGGGCATTTAGTAACTGCTATTTAATGGAAAGGTTTGATCTCCTGCCTCTCTTTATATGTTTTATATAAATTTCTTGCTATCCTTAATCCCAATAAACTCTATGTTAATCACTATACAACTTTAATATAGATGCATAAGTTCTATCACAGGATTGATTCCCATTTTACTATTTTTCAAAAATGCTAATTTCAGTACATATTAAGAGGGTTATAGAATAAGTTTGACTTGTTTGAGATTTCACCTAAATCATGGGGCAAAATCTAGCTAATAACTCATCACAAAAGAGATGAATAGGGTTGAATAAGGTATCTAGTTTCATTCAGTATATTTATTATATGCTGTATTGCTATTTTGAAAATGTGACTGCTTGAGGTGTTAAAACTTTAGCCAGAATGCACTAGTGAATCTATTCCAGTCTTTGATCAAAGTGTGCTTCTGAAATTCAGAAGAACCAAATATCTATAGAAATGTAGCTTTTGGCATCCAGGGGCTATATTTCAGACAGTTTTCTATCTAATGTCTATCATCCATCCACTAATACATACATCTATCTACATGTCCTTTTACTCAGCATTTATACTATGTGTGAACTAAAACTTCATGTAAATCCATGTTTAAACTAAGTATTCTATTCAGTTCTATCTAGGATACATGAACTCCTTTTATACACTTTATAAATATTAAAAATGTTTCTGAAATGTATTTTTAAAACTTTATTTTCAAAATTAAAATAATATTTTACTATACATAAGTATGTATATACTATATATAAAAAACATATGTTAACAGGCATAAAACAAAACAGACTTAAGTTTATAAAAAAATTTTAAAAGAAGAGTACACACTAATATTATATACTAATGTGATTTAAGAATTACCATATTCGTTAATTGTAAACATGGTTAAATAGCTTAAATATTTATGACATGACATGATGACAGTTTAGTCCTACATAAATTTATTGACAGACTTTTAATTCTTCCGAATTCCCTTTGCAAGGTGAATACTTTCTAAATACCTAGGAATATTTTCTAAAGTTAAAAAAAAAAATCCGTGGTGCGATTTTAAGTTTAAATACATGGATGAGAAGGCATGGTAATGCAGATAGATTATTTTTTTCTTTGTACATCAGAACCTCTGCCAAGATATGATTTTCCAGCAGGTTTATTCACTTAACCCATTATACGCACTATTTCTCAACTTCCTGTGCTGCAAATCAACAGTGTTGTGATACTGACTTATATACTGTGTCCCTATAAACTTTCTATAATTGAGCTTTGCAGATTAAACACAAAATTATTCCTTTTTGGTAGATTACATTTTCTCTCTCCATTTCTTTCTCTTTTGCAGTTCATTATGCTGACATACCTTTTCATGTTGGCCTGGCTGGGAGTCACGGCTTTCACCTCACTGCCAGTTTACATGTACTTCAATCTGTGGACCATCTGCCGGAACACCACATTAGTGGAGGGAGCAAATCTCTGCTTGGACCTTCGTCAGTTTGGTAGGTGGATATTGGATCACTTAACTGTAAAACCCCGCCCAGTATTGTGTTACCTACATAGCTGCCTCTAAAATATTACAGATCCCTTTGGAATGATCAGTACCTCTTCTACCACAGAGATAAATTTATCAAAGTATTCCTGCTAAGACTATTCCCTTCAAATTTAAAGTAGAAATTCAAGGGTGAATGGATGTTAATATCACAACATATACACATGTATATTGACCAGGATGTCAGATCACATTCCCTGGTATTGACAGGTTAGAAGTGTGGTTTCCTTTTCTTGATTCCTTTGCTCTTTTCCAAACTCAATGTGATATCTGCATTCTACTTTCATCCTCCCATGAAAAACTGCACAAAATGTCAAGTCTACAATAAATATCACCTAAGAAGGACATGGTACATTGTCTTCTGAAATGGGAGGACAATTAAATGCTAATCTTAGTTAGCATTTAATAATGAGAAAAACAAAAAACGTTAAATAAATTAGCAGTCTGCTTTGGTTATTTTCATTTAGGGCTAAAATCCCATGTAATAATAATACTCGTATGTATATAGGTTTACCACATATAGACCCTCTTTTAAGTTCTTCACATGTGTCACATTGTTTACTTCTCATGACTCTATATGGTAGGCAATACTGTTTTCTTCTTTTGTAGATGACAAAACTGAGGCACAGTGGGGTTGTTCAGTGACTTGTCCAAGGTTATACAGCTAGCAATTGACAGAGCTAGGATTCAAACATGGGCAACACAGGTTGAATCAGAGGCTCTGTTCTTGCTCATAAGTCAACTCTCTTTCATATTAAAACTTAGTACTGAGCTGGAAGTGGAAAAGTAGAATATAATCTCAGTTAGCCTATTTGAGATTCTATGTTATCATGTGTAACATGATGGGAGCTACAGAATTTATAAAGACATGCAAATCCACATTTGCAAATGGATTATTTTTTCTCTGAACAGACATTAAAAGCCAACCTACTAACACCTGGGGACACTGAGCTTTTTTCTCTAATGAGGTTTCCTCATACTTCAGAAAAGCAGGAAACATTTCACTTAGATGGGGTGTGAAGGGCTTGTGGCTTTACGGTTATGCTGTAAGTAGATTATAGGGTAGCCAACTAGCTGTGTGTTCAGAACAGGCTTACCTACCATCCTAACAGATGAAGCCTTAAGTCCCCCCGTAGTGTGATCCACTACGCTACACTAGTTCGCATTTAATAATAATAAAATCAGGTGGGGCGTGGTGGCTCATGCCAGCACTTTGGGAGGCCAAGGCAGGCACATCACCTAAGGTCAGGAGTTTGAGACCAGTGCGACCAATGTAGTGAAATCCTGTCTCTACTAAAAATAAAAAAATTAGTCGGGCATGGTGGCACATGCCTGTAGTCCCAGCTACTCAGGAGGCTGAGGCAGGAGAATTTCTTGAATCCAGGAGGCAGAGGTTGTATTTAGCTGAGATGGTACCACTGCACTCCAGACTGGGCGACAGAGTGAGACTCCATATCAAGATAAATAAATAAATAAATAAATAAATAAATAAATAAATAAATACAGATAAAATCAAAGAGTGCCAAATAAGTGAGCAGTCCTCTTTGGTTAATTTTATTTAGGGCAAAAATCTCATGTAATAATAATACTCATATGTACATGCGTACAGGGGGAAAAGTTCTATGGGTGACATTATGGCAAGAGGGAATACAGACATTGGGGACGTTTTACTCTCAAAATCAAATCCCTTGTAGAAATCAGAAAAGGAGCCCACAGCAAATGCTGCTGGAGGTCACTGCAGAACAGCTGCTTAGAAAACCATGACTCTGCTTTCAGCCCCTTGTCCTAAACGTCTTCCTTTTATTCTGCTGATCCTAAAAGTTAAATTTGAAAAACTTGTGATTAGCCTCTCAAATAGGGTTGGTAGGTTAAAATACAGGGCACCCAGTTAAATTTGAATTTCAGATAAACAAGCTATATTTTAATTACAAGTATGGTACCCAATATTGTATGGGATATAGTTATACTAAAATGATTTTTTCTTTATCTGAAATTCAAGTTTAACTAAGCGACACTGAGATTGTTTTCACTGTTAAATCTGTTAACCCTACTCTCAGAGCTTCGGTTTATCTTAAGAAAGTGTTACCACTGGAATACATGAGGGTCAGATTCTCTTGAATGTGATTGTTTATATTTTCAGAAATACACAACAGATTAGCATGTTCTGATTAGAAACATTTCATTTCTTATAGTGTAATAAATGCAAATAGTTAAGTAGGTGATTATAAGGTCTTTGGTATTATCAAACCAGATTCTAAACTGAAAAAATATTGGGAGACTTTAGAAAAATAATATTTAAAATTTCCCCAAGTTGGTTTTCTAAAGGACAGAAAGAGTAATCCTTTGTAAAAGATAAATGGACCGTCTTAATATTTTCAACTTAAAAAAAAGAAAAACTTATTAATTCTCAATGCATTCAAGTGCTTGTGATCTCCAAATGAACCTAATTTCACTGAAAGTATTGAGACTTATACCACTGAGCATATAGGATTCCTTATGACATTAAGCACAGAATGTGTCTTAGAATCATAGAATTTTATAAATGGACTTCATTTATCACCAGTCCAGCTGTCTGGTCTAAAAGAAATGGAGCCCTAAGAAATGAAATAATTTTCCAGGGATATAGCTACCCAGCAGGCCATGCTGGGATGGAAAGGTGAGTGTCCTGAATCTTAGCACAATTATTTTCTACTCGACAGCTTTTCAAATACAATTTTTAGCAAAAGAGCTTTTTTCAACTATAATCTTAAGTAAACCATTAGTCTGTTAAGTAGACAGAATAAAGGATCCTCAAAGATGTACACATTCTGATTCCTGAAACATACATATATGTGAGATGACTTGTCAATGGGGAATTAGGGTTGCTAGTCAACTGATCTTAAAATGGGGAGATTATCCTGGATTAGCCAGATGGGCCCAGTGTAATCCCAAGGGTCCTTCAAACTGGAAGAGAGAGTCAGAAGAGAAGAGTCAGTCAGAGAGAGATAGACTACAGAAAAAAGGCAGAAAGATGCAGTGTTGCTGGCTTTAAAGATGGAGAAAAGGGGCCAAGAGCCAAGGCATGTGGGTGGCCTGAAGAAGCTGGAATAGGAAAGGAAACTGCTCCTACTTCTAGAACCTCCAGAGGAGTGCAGCCCTGATGACCCTTTGGTGTTTAGCTTTGTCTTCCAGAACTGTAACAGACGAACTTGTGTTGCTTTAAGCCACTACATTTGTGACAATCTGTTACAGCAGCAATAGCAGACAAATACAATATTGAAAGCAAAGGTCAATTTTTTTCCCAAACCACTTTATTGTTTTTGTGATCTCCTACATTTACTTGATCATGATGGCAATCCATTTTCTGTAAAAGCCAGCCAAGTTGCATCTCCCTGACAATTCTGCAAGCTTAATTCCCCTTCACAGCTTACTCCAACACAGGTACCAGTTGCAGAGTTAAGGATGTGAACATCTGTGGGAGCCTATTTTTTGCCTACTGCAGTCTATGGGAGCCTATTTTTTGCCTACTCTGGCCACCAAAAATACACATCCATTTCTTTCTGTGAAATACATTCAACCTACCCCAAGTTTCAAAGGTTTCATCCAATTATGACATCAACTCAAGGTCAAAAAACCTTATTTCAGTCTCATTAGTTCATATCTCTGATTGTCTTTGTTTTTAAAAAAAGAATGTGCTATATTATTTGTTTCCATATTTCATAAAGCATAAATATGTGGTTAAAATTATTATTTGAAGCTTACCAATGTTTACAACATATTTATCAAGATTTATCCAAATGTACCTTTTCTTTTGTGAATTTGGA